ATCTTTAAAACCAGTTTTTATTTGTTATGTTTTTTTCTCGAGTGCCTGGATGATCTGAGAGTTTAGCCAGTATCACATAACCTCTCGACTCTTCTGATTTTGGGCCTTTTCTCTGATAAACTCAAAGACAAGCAAGCAAGCAAGCAAATTAGATGACTACGGTATACAAAACGTCAAGACTGGCCCCAAATGGGTCAATAGCACCATCTTTAGGCCATGTGTGAGTATTGCATCTACCAGTTTTCAGCTAGTGAAAGTTCACCTGTGGTTAACTAAAGCAGAATAAAATACACCTGTGCACTTGTGGTTAACTAAAGCAAAGTAAAAATGTCCCTGCTGGAAGGGCGAGGTGGCTCACACCTGTAATCCCAGCATCTTGGGAGGCCAAGGTGGATGGATCACGAAGTGTCGAGATCGAGACCATCCTGGCCAACATGGTGAAACCCCATCTCTACTAAAAATACAAAAATTAGCTGGGCGTGGTGGCGGGCTGGCGGGCTCCTGTAATCCCAGCTACTCAGGAGGCTGAGGCATGAGAATCACTTGAAGGCAGGAGGCAGAGTTTGCAATGAGCCAAGATAGCGCCACTGCACTCCAGCCTAGCGACAGAGCGAGACTGTTTCAAACAAAACAAAATAAGCCAAGACAAAACAAAACAATCCCTGTCACACTGGGAGGCATAGAAACACCTCAAAGAATGAGAAAGTGGAAAGGAAATGCTGTCTTCAAGGAACTCAGTTAACACCTGATTATATCCACATGCAATATTTGAATCAAGTTTGCTACAAGTAGTGGAAAGGAACCAGGTTGAGGAGGATGCCAAGAGCAGAGCATATTTCTGATGACTCTGAGCAGGGTGCATAGACCACAGAGCTCCCCAAGGAGTGGGAGGAGCTTATTGAACAGGGGTTAGAAAATGTTTGTACAGGAATATTAACAAAAAGACTAAATAGGAAAACCTGTGGGCTGCCCAAGGGAACTTTACATCCTTAAGTGCTTACAATCGAAAAGAAGTTAAAAGTTAATGGGCTAAGTAACCAACTTGAGAAGTTACAAAAAGAATATTCAAAGAAAGTAGGAGGATGAAAACTCATAATTATAAGGGAAGAAATTAATTAAACAGAAAATAAGCATGTAATAGGAAGAACCACAAAAGCTAGAGGCTGGTTTTTTGAAAAGATGAAAGAATAAAAACTGATAATTCTCTGGCAACATTGATCAAGAAAAAAAGGGAAAAGTAACCCAAAAAAAAGGTGGGCGCGGGAGCTGTAACTACAAAGCATTAGTTCCAGGGTTCCACCTGTCTGCTTGTAAAAAGACAATTGAAATTCCACATTAGATCTCACCCTTACACGTTTTCACATCCTTTTCCTCTTTGATTTCCATGAAGTTAGCATGAGCAATGTTTTCTTCCTTGATATGTAATAATAAAAAGCTGACATTTGTTAAATGCATATTATGTGCAAAGCACTATGCAATGAAATCCCACAATGCGTCCCTGGGGCTGTCATCATCATCCCCACTTCATAGATCTGGAAACTGAGGCTTGGGAGATAGATCTCCACTTAACAGATGTGGAAGTGGAGATATCTCTGTTGTTCTGTTGATTTCTAACACAGCACAGCTGGAAACCAACAGCACCAGGACTCCGAGTGAGCGGTCAGGGCCTAGGGCATCTCCTGACCACAGAGGGAGCAGGCAGCAGAGCCAGGACAGAACCCAGGTCTTTTGACAAAAAGTCCTCATGACCCCAGGACTGCCTGTGCCAGAAAGGCAATTCTGGAGGATGTTTTTATTTTTTTCTCTCCCTCTCTAAATTGAACAGGGATGTACTTTGCAACTCTGGAATCCATGGAGGCAATTTTGGTCCTTGGACACAGATGCTAACATGGCCCTGATCACATGGGGAAAATTTACAAGGACCTGGAGGTCAAGCAGCCTCTAACTCAGGTTTGTCCCTGGCCTGCTTTGGAATTGTCTCTCTAAATAGGCTTTTGTCCACTGGTACTGGGCTAACCTACTTTTGGGGGCTTCAGGATAAAACCTGAGGCCAACTGTGGTGCTGCAAATCCTATTTTAATAGGAGTGAGCTGCATAATCGAAGGTTCTTGGTGCAATGTGTGGTTCCTTCAAGTGCCGTGATTCCTGTGTCACATTAAATCCAGGGTCCACAAACTATGGACCTCAGACTAAATCTGTAAACCTGTTGTTTTCATATGTTCCAAAAAGTGTAGTTAATGATTGTCAAGAAAGAAATCCACCCCCCTCCCCCGCTTTTAAATGGTTGGTGAAAAAAATCAAAAGATGAATAGTATTTTGTGACATCTGAAAATTATGTAAAATTGTAATTTCAGCATCCTTAAATAAAGCTTTATTGGAACACAGCCACACTCATTCATTCACATACTCTACGGCAGCTTCTTCCTTCAATGGCAGAGTTGAGTCATTGCAGCAGAGACCATACAACGTGTGAGCCTAAAATACTTGCTATTAATATTTAAGAAAAAGCTTGTGCTAACGTATCATTACAGAACTTCATTTTACTTTTTCCTTTTCAGCTTTTATTTTGGATTCAGCAGGTATGAGTGCGGGTTTGTGAGCTGGGTATATTGTGTGGTGCTGAAGTTTGGGGTACAAATAATTCTGTCACTCAGGTGCCAAGCATGGTAGCCAACAGTGAGGTTTTGACCCTTGCCCTCCTCCCCTCCTCCCTTCTCTAGTAGTCCCCATGTCCATTGTTGCCATCATTATGCCATGAGTACCTGATGCTTAGCTCCCACGTACACCTGAGAACATGTGGCATTTGGTTTTCTGTTCCTGTTTTAATTGTCTTAGGATAATGGCCTCCAGCTGCATACATGTTGTTGTAAAGGACATGATTTCATTCTTTTATATGACTGCATAATATTCCACGGTGTATATATGCCACGTTTTCTTTGTCCAATCCACTGTTGATGGGCATCTAGGTTGATTCCATGACTTTGCTATTGTGAATAGTGCTGTGATGAACATGTGAGTGCAAGTATCTTTTTGGTAGAATGTTTGCTAGGCTGGGTGCAGTGGGTCACACCTGTAATACCAGCCCTTTGGAAGATTGAGGTGGGCAGATCACCTGAGGTTGGGAGTTCAAGATCAGCCTTACCACCATGGAGAAACCCTGTCTCTACTAAAAATACAAAATTAGCTGGGTGTGGTGGCACATGCCTGTAATCACAGCTACTTGGGAGGCTAAGGCAGGGGAATCACTTGAACCTGGGAGGCAGAGGTTGTGGTGAGCCGAGATGGCACCATTGCACTCCAGCCTGGGCAACAAGAGTGAAATTCCATCTCGAAAAAAAAAAAAAAAAAGAATGATTTGTTTGCTTTTGGATGAATACACAGTAATGGGATTGCTAAGTCAAATGGTAGTTCTGTTTTAAGTTCTTTGAGAAGTCTCCAAACTGCTTTCCACAGTGGCTGAACTAATTTACATTCCCACCAGCAGCATAAGGGTTCCCCCTTGCTCCATAGCCTCACCAACATCTTTTGTTTTCTGACTTTTTAATAATGGCCATTGTGACTGCCGTGAGATGGTATCTCGTTGTGGTTTTGATTTGCATTTCTCTTATGATTAGTGATGATGAGCATTTTGTCATGTTTGTCGGCTGCTTGTATGTCTTCTTTAGAAACATGCCTTCTCAAGTCTTTTGCCCATTTTTTAATGGGGTGTGTGTGTGTGTGTGTGTGTGTGTGTGTTGAATTAAGTTTCTTATGGGTTCTGGATATTAAGCCTTTTGTTGAATGCATACTTTGCAAATATTTCCTCCCATTCTGTAGGTTGTCTGTTTACTCTGCTGCTGGTTTCCTCTGCTGTGCAGAAGCTCTTTAATTACCTCTCGTTTGTCAATTTTTATTTTTGTTGCAATTGCTTGTGAGGACTTTGTCATAAGTTGTTTCCTAAGGCGTATGTCCAGAGTGGTATTTTCTAGGCTTTCTTCTAGGATTCTCATAATAATTTAGATTTAATAGAAACCCCTCTCAAGAAAAACAAGCAAAAGAAAACATTTTCAAAATACATGTTGATTATGTTTGTATATTTTAAAATTCTTTCTCTCTTTTCCTAGCAGAGAAAAACCCAATCGTCCTGAGACTCTGCAGACACACACACAGCTTACTTGGGTTTTATCTTGGAGCTCCTCTGCCCTCAGGCATTTGGGGAGAAGGACTCTGGCTCAGGCTGGGATTTTCGGAGCCAGGTTGAGTGACAAGGTTGGGCTAAATAGTTTATAGTGTTGGTATAAAGATGAAATTGGGATACCATGAGATGGCCAGGGCATTCAGTCACCCCTGATTCAAGACCTCCAGATAAGGTTCCTGAGAGCGACCCAGTACAGGACGCAGCCTCACATGAGAGGAAAAATAATACTTTGTAACTAGCTGAGCTGGAAGAGACATAGACAAGCCAAAACAATCTTAGAAAGAACAGAGTTAGAGGACTCACGTTCCCAATTTCAAACTCACTACAAAGCTGCAGTAATTAAGACAGCGTGGTTTTGGCATAAAGACACATAAACAGATCAATGGAATAGAATTGCGAGTCCAGAAATAAACTCTCATCTATGGCCAACTGATTTTCAATAAAGGTGCTAGGATGATTCAACAAGTGAAAGACTAGTCTTTTTAACACCTGATGCTGGAGTAACTGGTTATCTACATGTACAAGAATGAATTTGGGTTCCCACCTTATACCAATACACAGAAGTTAATTGAGACTGAACCAAAGACTTAAATGTAAGAGCTAAACCATACATTCCTAGAAGAAAATGCGTGAATGGGGAATGACTGCTAATGGGTACAAGGTTTTTTTGGGAAGTGATGAAAATATTCCACAACTGATTGTAGTGATGTTGTACAACTTTGGGAATATACTAAAACCACACTGAGCTGTACACTTTAAATAGGTGAATTTTATGCTATGCGAATTACATCTGAATAAAGCAGTTTAAAAAGACCCTGTGGCAATGGCCTGGATCCAGGTCTGTGGGACCATGATCAGCCTGACACTTTTCTGTGAGGAGCGGCGGCTTGGGCAGTGGGAGAAAAAGCCATCTGGACCCTCTACGTGGTCCTGGATGCCATTGACCAGATGTGGCTGCCTGCAACGAGGACTTGGAATGAGTGCCACCGTGGGGTTCTAACTGGCTTTAATAAAGCAGAAGCTGCTGCCAACCCCGGGGAGGCCTCGGTAAAGATTTGGAGGTGCTCCTATGATGTCTCATCACCTCCAATGAGCCCAACCATGCCTTCTAAGGCAACACCAGTGAGAATAGCAAGGATGCAGATTCACGAAAGCTCAGCTGCCCTCCTGTGAAGGTCCGAAGGACACGACTGCCATAGCTCTGCCGCTTCCTAGATGGAGGAGGGGAAGGGGCACTGACTGCAGCTGATGGCAGCAGCCTTCGGGGCATTGTCGAGCACCTGGAGAGTCTCTCCGAGGACGCTGTCATGGAGCTGGACCCTCTGACTGGTATTCCCGTTGTCTATAGATTGGACAAGAACTTGAAGCCCACCAAGCCCATGTAGTTCCCGGGGGAGGGGAGGGGTTAAAGAGACTGTGACAGAGCTGTGGAAGCTGTGGCTGCTGGGAGCAGGGCCAAGAAGTAAAGACCAGCAGGCAGACTACTGTCCCGAGGAACGCCCCCCCCCACCCCTGCCTCTGCACCTCTGCATACGTCACACTCACCCCTTCATAGTCTTTTTTTTTTGAGACTGGGTCTGACTCTGTCAGCCAGTGCAGCTGGCTGCAACCTCAGCTAACTGCAACCTCCTCCTCCCAGGTTCAAGTGATCTTCCCTCTTCAGTCCCGAGTAGCTGGGATAATAGGCACGCGACGCCATGCCCGGCCAATTTTTTTTTTTTTTTTTTGAGACAGAGTTTTACTCTTGTTTCTCAGGCTGGAGTTCAATAGCATGATCTCAGCTCACCGCAACCTCTTCCTTCCAGGTTCAAGCAATTCCCGAGTCACTAGGATTACAGGTATGCGCCACCACGTCCAGCTAATTTTGTATTTTTAGTAGAGATGGGGTTTTTCCATGTTAGTCAGGCTGGTCTCGAACTGCTGACCTCGGGTAATCCACCCGCCTCAGCCTCCCAAAGTGCTGGGATTACAGGCATGAGCCACTGCCCTTCGCCTTTTTTTTGTATTTTTAGTAGAGACAGGGTTTCACTGTGTTGACCAGGCTGGTCTTGAACTTCTGACCTCGTGATCCTCGCAAAGTGCTGGATTACAGGCATGAGCCAGTGTGCCCGGGATACCTTGTTCTTTTTTAAAAACTTGTGTATATATAAATTTACATATGCATATATTAAAAATGGACAAATACGCCAAATTTTGAGTGCCTGTTCTCCTGATAGTAGAGTTACAAGTAAATTTTCTTTTTTTAAAAATATTTTTTGGGCCAGGCTTAGTGGCTCACACCTGTAATCCCAGCAGTTTGGGAGGCCGAGGCAGGCAGATCACGAGATCAAGAGATCAAGACCATCCTTGCCAACATGGTGAAACCCTGCCTCTACTGCAAATACAAAAATCAGCTGGGCATGGTGGTGCATGCCTGTAGTCCCAGCTACTCAGAAGGCTGAGGCAGGAGAATCGCTTGAACCCAGGAGGTAGAGGTTGCAGTGAGCCAAGATCACGCCACTGCACTCCAGCCTGGTGACAGTGCAAGACTCCATCTCAAAAAAAAAAGAAACAGTATTTTTTTGACCAGGCGCGGTGGCTCACTCCTGTAATTCTGGCACTTTGGGAGGCTGTGGCAGGTGGATGACTTGAGGTCAGGAGTTAGAGACCAGCCTGGCTAACATGGTAAAATCCCGTCTATACTAAAAATACAAAAATTAGCTGGGCGTGGTGACACACACCTGTAATCCCAGCTACTCAGGAAGCTGAGGCAGGATAATCGCTTGAACCTGGAAGGCAGAGGTTGCAGTGAGCCCAGATCACGCCACTGCACTCCAGTCTAGGTGACAGAGAGAGACTTCATCTGAAAATATATATATATATATGTATATGTATATGTATATGTATATGTATATGTATATTATATATGTAAACTCTTTGAAAATTACAAAAGTAATCTGAAAATACCATCATTTTAAAGATAGTTAACTGTTTCATACCAAATATCTACCAAGTTTGCTATTCCTTGTGCTTTAATTTTATTGTTTTTTAAAAGGTTTCCTTCAAGCAGAATGGTACCTTTCCACTTTCCTCCATCAAAATGTGCACTTTGGAACCCAATGCCAGTTGGAGATTTCATCTACTTACATCTCAGTTACTACAGGTATAACATGTTTCTTTTTTTCAACTCAAACCAGTATAAACAAGAGAAATAATACAAAGATGTATAAGGCAAAGTTGATTACTATGATCAATTACTCAGATTTTCTCTACTTTTCTTTTAGAAGCTCCTCTCAGGCTAAATTTTCCTTCTGCTACTTCTTAACATCTGTTCCTTGTACTTTTGAGAGATAATCTTAATTTCCCAGCTTGATGCAAATTCTGAGTATTGTAGAAATTCAAAAGAGGTGAAATATAAATACAGAAAGTGTTTTTTGTGTTAGCATGGTGTCTTTGTAGAACATTGAGAAGGTTAAACCAATTTTTGACTGGATCAGATTAGAAGGAATATAAAATCGTGTAGTTACATCTGGGACATGAAAGAAAGACAAGAAAGAAGTTTAGGCATAAAGTAATAGAAAATAGATCTGTTGAGGTTTTATACATAAAAGTTACTTGTTAAAAGTAGTATTCTTCTGTTTTTTTTTTTTTTTTTTTTTTTTTTTTTTCACCTGGGTGCAGGTGGGCTGAGGCTGAAAAGGGAATCAGCTAAAAGTAGTATTCTAAGATGGATGGATTATTGTAGGGAGAGCTTAGAGTCAGCCTAGCTTCAAGATGCTTTTCTTTAATCACATAGTTGTATACTATAATGGTTTAAGGTGCTATAACTGGGTTGGGCGTGGTGGCTCACACCTGTAATCCTGGCACTTTGGGAGGTTGAGGCAGGAGGATTGCTTGAAGCCAGGAATTTGAAACGAGCCTGGGCAACAAGGTGAGACCTTGTCTCAATAAAAAATTAAAATAAAAGTTAAAAAAACAAAGTAAGAAAAAAAAAAGGTACAGTAACTGGAGCCAGACTGCCTAGGGAATCTAATCCTGATTCTACTACTACTTATTTATGTGACCTCAGTAAAGTAGCCAAGGATCAGTTTCCTTATTTATAAAATGACTGTTATAATACCAGTTTCATAGTTCTCTTGTAGGGGTTAAATAAGACTCTGAAGCAATTGTCACAGCCTAGAATAGAAAGTGTTCCATAAATGTCATCTATTATGTATATTATAAGGACTTAGAGCAATGTGGCAGTATTCAGATCAAGAGGAAAGAATGAAACAAGGTGTTTCGAAGAAATAGTTTGTCGTATTTGATGATTGCCTGAATAGAGGAACTGAAGGAAAGATACAAGCCAGAAAGTATTCAGGCTCAAAACTATTTAGGAGAGAAGGGTGGTACCATTGACAAAAATAGAGAGAGTCTTATGGAAGTTCAACTAAATAATTGTTAGACCTGTTTTTATTTTTTTTTATTGTTGTCTTTTTGTACATTTTGAGTAATTTCCTTTGTTTTTCAAGTCTGCTTATTTTCTCTTTAGCTTTGCTTAGCTGCCATCTCACCTATTCGTTTAGGTTTTTCAAATGTGGCCGTGTACCATGTATATGAAAGGATACTTACAGTATATATGCATAGTTAATAGAATAATAACATACATTTGTATGCCTGTCCCCAATTATAACTCATTGAATTTTTACAAATTATATTTTTTATTTCTGTAAGTTCTGTATGGCTTTTTTACTCAAATTTGCCTGGTCTTTTTTTCATAGTATCTTATTCCTTCCTCATATTTTGGTTTTCCTCTTATGTTTTTAAAAACATTTAAATCATGCTATATTTTGTATTCAATACAATAGTTTCCCCACTTTAGACATGGTTTCACTGTCCATGGTTTCAGTTACCCACAGTACGGTACAATATAGTATTTTGAGAGAGAGACTACCTTCATACAACTTTTATTAGAGTATACTATTAAAATTATTCTATTTTATTAGTTATTGTTGTTAATCACTTACTATGCCTAATTTATAAATTAAGCTTTATCATAGATATGTATGTATAGGAAAAAAACATAGTAAACATAGGATTTGTTACTATCTGTGGTTTCAGACATCCACTGGGGGTGTGGAACATGCCTCCCAGAGATAAGGGGGCACTACTGTAATGCTAATATCTGAAGCCCATACACAGTATGTAAACAAATAGATGTGACTGTTTTCAATCAAAATGTACTTACCAAAACAAGAGACCTACCTGCTGAGTTCATAAAGCTAACAAAATGCCTGGAGAACAGCTATAGTTTCAATGCCTGTTTATTGCCATTCTAGTTTCTAGGTTGCCATCCCTATCCCCTGCCTTTGACCATGGGATTTTCTGACAATGATCTTTTTGTACATTTTTAAAAATGTGTGTTATAATTTAGACAGCATTTTATGGTAGGAGGGTTTTTTTTAAGATATGAGTTCCACCATATTCATAAAAGACTTGTTATTTTTCAGAAATCCAAAGCTTGTGGTGACTAAAAAGACCATCCAGCTTGCTTATCGTCATGCTAAGCAGAATAAAAAAAATTCGTCATGCTTTTTACTTGGTTCTCTGACAGTAGACGAAGGTAATACACTTATAAAAATTGACCAGTGCTCACTCTGTAATCCCAGCATGTTGGGAGACTGAGATGGGAGGCTGAGGTAGAAGGCTGGCTTGAATCTAGGAGTTCAAGACCAGCTCGCATAACTTAAGGAGACCCCATTGACACAAGGAAACATTTTTTAAAAGTTATTTGTATGACTGCAATTGAATTTATTGGTTTGGCCAACTATTCATTTTATTTGCTTTGTACCAATTTTCTTTGCTGTGTACCAAGGATATGAAGATGGGTAAAACTATCTATTACAGACTTTACTATCTGGTCACATGGAAGAATATATAAGCAAATAAGAGTTTTGTATACTATTGTAAGAGTTTAGTATAGGGTAAGATTTTAGTTTAGTACTTAAAAGTTTAGTAACACTATTGGTATGAACAAAGTACTTTCCTAAATGTAGCCTTGCTTGGTTGATTTCGCATTTTTAATTAGTATGCTATATCATGGCTGTCATTTTTGTTCTACAGATGAAGAAGGTGTGACATTGACAGTAGATCGCTTTGATCCTGGTCGAGAAGTACCTGGATGCTTAGAAATAACCCCTACTGCTTCTCTTCCTGGGGACTTTTTGATTCCATGCAAAGTTCATACTCAAGAACTTTGTTCAAGAGAAATGATAGTTCACAGTGCAGATGACTTTAGTTCAGCTTTAAAGGTGAGATTCATTGATAACTTGATTATTCTTAATTCAACACAAGAATCAAACTATGTTTAATATGCTGTATTTTAGTAAACCCATACTTGAGAATTATTAATAATAATTTGATTAGATTATTATGGGCCTAAAATCCAACTAAATGTGTTTCTGAGGGCAAAAATTCTAGGTAAGTGATATGAGTGTCATTTCAGAAGAAGCAGTGTAATCAAGATAAGAAAATTCAAGATATACTTAGGGTAATGTTTAGGGTATACATTTTTGCTGAATTTGTGGGTAGTCAGACTGGAGTATTAGTTTGGTCAGATTATAGAGAGCCCCAACTGGGCATGGTGGCCCATGCCTGTAATCCCAACACTCTGGGAGGCTGAGGCAGGTGGATCACTTGAGCCCAGGAGGTTGAGGATGCAATGAGCTATGGTCACACCACTGCACTCCAGCCTTGGTGGGAGCAAGACCCTGTCTCAAGAAAAAAGAGCCTTGTCTCCCAGCTTAAGGAATTTGAACTTTGTCATGTGGACCATGTAGTAATTGAAGGTTCCTGGAAAAAGGAAATACTGTCAAATCAGAAATAGTTAATCTGATAGGCTGGGCTGACGGAAGTTAGAGAGAGGAGCCATTGTAGTAGTTGGGTGGGTATGTATTACAGAGGGATTGATTAACCTATAGTACAATGGTAGCAGTGAAACTAGGAAGGACATAGTGGACATGAGCAAATACAGAGGAAGAGCTAACTTCACAATTTGTCGTAACAAGAAAGGAATCAAAGAGGAATGGACTTTAGATTCTCTGAGACTGAATCAGAATTATTTTATGAGGCCAGGTGTGGTGGTTCACACCTGTAATCCGGGCACTTTGGGAAGCTGAGGTGGGTTGATCACTTGAGGTCAAGACTTCAAGACCAGCCTGGTCAACATGGTGATACCCCATCTCTAGTAAAAGTACAAAAAATTAGCCGGGTGTGGTGGCACACATGTGTAATCCCAGCTGCTCAGGAGACGGAGGCAGGAGAATTGCCTGAACCTAGGAAGCGGAGGTTACATTGAGCTGAGATCCCACCACTGCACTCCAGCCTGGGCAGGAAAGCAAGACTCTGTCTCAAAAAAACCCAAAAAGATTTATTTTATTGCCATTTTTTCCCCATGTAGTAAATATTTATTGGGGGTGACTACCCAATAAGACTTAAGTGCTGCTGGGATATTTACAATGGGAATGTGTAGTGGAGCTTGGGACAGTAAATCTTATTTTCTTTGATATAATTATTCACATAATCTTTTGGTCATGTAGAGTAAATAGGAACTGAAATGTTGTAAATCAGAACTCATTTAATTTTATTAGTGTAAGATTTTATACATATATATATATATATATATATATATATATATATATATACCAGTAGAAAGTAAACTTTAGAGATATGGACACATTTCAAAGTTTCTAAATAATTATTTAATATTGATTTCTCAGGCTCTACAGTGCCATATA